GTGCGTAATGAGCTGCCGGGGCGCATCGCGGTGCAGGACGACCTGGACAACACAGAGCTGCCCTTCTTCACCCTGGGTAAGACTGGGCGCCGGCACACGCGGGATCCTAAGGAACCCGGAGCCCCTAAGTGAAGCTGGACGGGTGGGGGCGCCCTGGGGATTCCCGCCCCAGGCTACCCGGAGCGCCGTTAAGAGAGGACAGCTGAGGGGCCCGGAGGGCGCACAGGTGGTTGGAAGGAGTACGGGGCAGGAGGTCTGGGCGAGCGCGTGGTGGGAGCCCGGGGGCGTGCCAGTCTTCCCGCAGCGGGGACCTGTCCCTCCGTCTCTCAGTCCATCCCCGACTCCGGAGAGCCCAGATGACTGAGTGTGCTGCTAGGCGCAGTGGTCGTCCCCGGCTCGGAAGCCAGGTCCGAGTCCAGCCGCCCACTGCTCATCCAGGCACGGCCACTGGCCGCCTGCGGTTGCCGCCCCCTCGCTCTCGCCTCGGAGTTGTTGGTTCTGCTTTTCCGGACAGATTATCACGCAGTCCGCATAAACTCGGTTTTCCTATGGATTGGGTGACCTTGGCCAAGTCTGCTTCCCCTCTCTGGGCCTCAGTTTTGGCCATCTGTGAAGTGGGGTTGGGGAGGACTGAGGGATTTCTGAGCACCGGCATTCTGAGCCCAAGGTCTCCACTTTCAGATTCTCCCTCCATCTCCGTTGTCGCATTCGTTCCCTTCTCCCCTCCCAGCGGAGAGCGGGTTTGTCCTCACAGCTCACCCACTGGCCTAATAATAATAACTTAAAGGCATGAAAAGGAAAGAGGAGAGGAAAAGGGTGGGGATGGGGGCTCAAACGGAAAAGTTAATCAGAAAGTTCACAAGCAGCTTGCTGCCTGCTGGTTCCCAGCGCGAATCCCGGAGGAGTCGGCCCTTCGGTGGAGCTGTGGGAAGCACGGCTGATTTCCCACCCGGGTAATTGATAGCTTAATTATCTCGGAGAGCGTTTACAAAAATGTTGTTCCCCCTTAGCTCTCCCGCGCTCGCTGATCGCTCTCTCTCTCTCCCCTCCCCTCTTGGGGGCGCGGGGCGCGATTGGTCGTCGGATTCTGGCCAACAACAGCTCCTGGAAGGCGCGGGGGGCTCGCCCCAGACTCCAGACTTCCCCATCGTTGCCTCCTCGAGATTCGGCTCAGCTCCGGCACCGCGGGGGTGAAGGGCTTTATCGGTCAGCGCCTTCAAGATCCTGGCTTGAACCTCTGAGGTTAACTCTTTGCTCACCTGAGAAGCCCCAAAGAGTAATCAATGGACTAAATGCCTCTCTCCTGGGAGCCATGATATTTTTGATGTATTTTTGTGACCCCCTTCCCTTTCCCTATCATGCTGTTTGAAGATTTGAACAAGTGCTAGGCCCTCTCGTGGTCTAAGCTTGAGCCTCGAGTTTCTGGCCCCTGGCTCTCCCCAGCTGGCTGTAACCTGAGCATTCTGAGCTTTCTGGGATACTAGACAGGAGACCGCCTTGCAGGTTCCTTGGGGACTTCCTGCGGGGGGCGCCGTGTCTGGCTTAGGACACACTTACAGCATTCAAGCATACACACTTGTGCTCTGTCTCTCTCTCTCTCTCTCTCTCACACACACACACACACACACCCTTCCCACGTGCACCTGAGGGCTGCCCATTTCCAAGGAAGGGGATGGGGTGGAAATGGGGTTCCTTAGGGTAAAGAGCTAATCTTGGGTTCATGGTCAACTCCTATGACCCCACAGCAGGGTAGAGGCCTTCCAGAGACTCGAGGTTCCTTCCACACCACTTCCAATCCCAACCTTCTCCTTTCCCCTGGGAGATCTCTCTACTCTGCGTTGTCCCCAGAGGTCGGGAGTAGGAATCCGCTAAATGGCTGTCCAAATGAGGGGCAAAGGGGAACATTCTTGGGTATGGCATGACTTGGAAGCCAGAACCTGGGAGCATTCCAGTTCCCCTTGGATGTGGAGGACCTGATCCAGCCACCTGCAGGAGCCGCTCCTGAATTCCTGGAGCTGGCAATGGCTGTCTTTTTAAACTTTGGCTTTCAAGAGGGAATGCGTGCCTGGGAGCCCAGGGTAGGCTGAGTGAGGATCTGGAAGTCTCAAATCCCTCAGGACCATGGTTCAGCATGAAGAGTCTCCTGGTGCCCTCCACTTGGAGCCTTCTGTCTTCTCTGACGCAAGCAGCTGAGTCTGGTGGCTGGGGACTGCCTGCTATGGAGTGGCGGGGTGCCTTCCTCCTTGGCAGCTCTGAGCCCTTTGGGGAGTTGGGTTCCTGCCTCCTCTTTCTTCCCCCAGCGCCCTGGACTGGCAGCTCAAGGCATTTCTGCCAGGGATTTGGCTAGGGAGGTAGTCACCAGATGGCCGAGTGTAGCAGGAGCTGTGTAGGGAGACGTGGGCTTTTTGTTTGTGTTGGTCTTCTACTGTTTGCGTGTAAACACAGAGTGCACAATGAGCTCTGGGAGGGCCAGGCTGGCTGAACATGAGGGCTGGTGAGGGGTGGATCCTATGAGTCATTTGTGGACAGGTCTTCCCTGGGGTCCCGAGGCTGCCCCATCCCATCATCATATCCTCACACCTTCTAAACATCCTTGCTTAGTGTTTGACTCTGGAGGGTTGGGTGAGTTTTTTACTATTACGTTGCCGGTTCAAGGGATTTGGAGATGGCATTATACCACGGATGCGCTTGCAAAGTCAGTGCCAGATCCTGCCAATAGTGGAGTGTGTGGAGCCACCGCTAGGGGGTGACAGTGTCTGCCAAAGCCCTCGGGCCATGCTTTGGGTTGTGGGCCAGAGTTTGTGGTGGTAAAACGTTCCTGGCATTAAAGAGGGTGAACAAACAAAAGGTAAAGTTCCCGTTTTCCTCCGAGTCCAGTTGGGGCACCTCACAGTTATTCTGCACACACTGTCTGCCAGTCCTCCTTTACAAGCTGGCTACAAGGTCGCTGACATTCCTGCCCCTCCCTCCCTCCATTCTACCTCTCTTGTTTGAATTATTGGCTCTATTATTGGTAGGGCCCAGACTCAAAAGACTTTTCTTCAGGTCTCTTCCTCTTCATGTTTCTGATCTTCCCTTTATGTTCCAGCCTGCTTTATGTAGGTGGAAATTTCCCTCAGAGGTGAAATCTCCCCCAGGTTTCTGTGTCTGGGCCTCTTCTTCAGAATCTAAGTCAATGGCACTGATAAAGTAAATTTCCTTGAAATTGCTCAAGGAATAGCAAATAGTTGTTGAATCCTTCATATAGTGTTAAGAATTTGACTTTTACCTTTTATTATTGATTAATATAAAATACATGGAGTGGGCACTGCTGTTACTTATTCCCATTTTACAGGCTAGGAAGCATTCTTAGGTCAGGTACCTGGTCTCACTGTGAGTGAATGCAGACCCAAGCCTGGAACCTCAGTTCACCAGACACCTACATTCTTGGTAACTGCTAAACAGCCACCCTGAGCCAAGTATGCACTGACAAGCTAGCTACATTCATGTAGGTATGGTGCAGGGTCCTGGAAAGAAACAACAGTCATCAATCTGACAAGAACCTATCTTAAGGGAACCCCAGCTACACTGGCTCGCTGAAGTATGAGAGTGAAGCATGAGTGAAATGACCGCCAATGACCCTGCCAACTCCAAGTTCTGTGACTCATGGGATGTCAAAGGACATTCTATTTAATGGTGCCAGTGAGTGATGTAGATGACACATTCTGTAACATCAGGGAGGGAAGGCATCTCTTTAGACTCAGAGAAATCTGGGGACACTTCCTGGACAGGAAAAAAAAACCAAAAACAAAAAACCATGCGAGGCCATGGAGATAGGCTGGAAGAGAAGTATGCCCCAACGCAGTTTAGAGACTTGAGGCTGGTTAGGTCCTGGAACTCTCAGCTGTGCCCCACTATGACCTTGAACAACTCATTTATCCCCAGATCATCAGTTCTTTGTGCTGTGATATGAGTGGGTAGAGGAGCCCTAGAATAATCTGTCGACGTAAAGACTCTATGAACTTGAGGTGCCCTGACCCACTCTGTAACTCTGACTAGCTCCTCTTCTCACTTTCTCCTTTCCTTTGCTGGTAGCATGGGGGTGTTGGGAAGGACTGATTGAAAAGAAAGAATTTGAGCAGGAGCACCTGTCACTGCAGGGCTTCTGAGGTGAACCTGCATATCAGTCAGTTCTCATTTCCCCCCAGGCAGCCCCAGGGTCCGCCTGTGGATGTAGCTTTAATGCCCATGGGTAGGGAAATGGCATCTTTCTTCCTGTGCTTGATAGTGGCCAGTCTGGACTGTTTACCACCAGCCTTGATTCAGCAAAAGTGGGAAGGAGATAAAATAGAGTAACTACTCATTATCAACATTTGTTACTAATTTGCCTCATCATATATATCACACAGGTGAGGAATGTGCTCTGTATTTGCAGGGGTGGGGGTGGGGGAGAGTGGTGTGGGGAGAAGGAAAAACCATCCAGTAGTTGGTTTAAAGGCACCTGCATGAGCAGACCTGGCAGTGTCCTGAAGATCTGTCCCTAAAGGATGCTCTTTGCAGGAAGCTGATTGGCTTGGAAGAAAAAGATGGCCTGAAATGCCAACTTAGTCAGGTCTGCGAAGATTCCTTAAAATGCAAATAAAAAATGGATACCCAAATAGAAAAGCCTCCAGGAGGGAGGGACCAGGCACTAGGTCAGAAGGGTTGCTGGAAGCAGGGAGTTTAGCCAAAGAGAAACAGTCCACAAAGGGCTGGAGGAGCTTCCTTTGAATGTCAACATGGATTGAGGCATGTGCTTTTTTTCTGCCTGGTTCTAAGGAATGTCCTAATGGTGCAAATACTAAGGAGATGGAGTTCAACACTACGGGAGGATGTGTCCCAGGGAGTTGTCCAACAACCCCACATTCTGACCCTTAATGATGAAGGGGTCGACATGGGAGGAAGCCTTCAAGCAGAGGCTACGCAGTTCTTTGGCAGGCATTTGGAGAAAGGACCAGAGGCATTGAGGCTATCAGCCCTTTATGGTTTCTGGTTTCTGGTGCCGGTTTTTAAGTGGGAGAAAAAACATATACAGATAGATAAACTGAGTTTTCTGGA